GAGATTGGGCTATGGATATGATAGGGATACATCCACCCTCTTCGAAGCACCATTGTTTCATCCTAGTGGCCACAAATTACTTCACTAAGTGGGTTAAAGCTAAACCATATAAAGCTGTGGATCAAACTGAAGTTATTGGATTTATTAAAGATCTGATTCACATGTTTGGCATCCCACAGACCATAACTGTAGATAATGAGACTGTATTTGATAGGAAAATGGTAAAATCTTTTGCAGTAGAGTTTGGAATTAGCCTTGTTAATTCCACCCCTTATTACACATAAGCAAATGGTCAGGCAGAATCATCTAACAAGTCCTTGAAAAAAGGAATACAGAGAGTTATGGAAGACAATCCTAGGGATTGGCATAACTTATTGTTGAATGTATTGTGGGTTTATAGGACTTCTCCAAGATCAAGTACGGGAGTCACTCCTTATGCCTTAGTATATGGGCATGATGCAGTGTTGCCTGTGGAGATTAACATTAGGTCCTTGAAGGTGAAATGCCAGGACCAGCTAGCTTTTGAGCAGTACCATCAGAGCATGTTCTTGGAATTAGAAAATGTGGATGAAGCTAGAATTTTGGCATTAAATAGTATTCTTTTCCAAAAGAAGAAGGCAGCCAAAAACTATAATAAGAAAGTCAGACACATTAGCTTTGATGAAGGTGATTTGGTATGGAAGACAATACTTCCAATAGGAATTAAAAGCCATAAGTTTGGCAAATAGTCACCTAATTGGGAAGGACCATATCAAATTCATAGAGTCTTGCCTGGAGAGCATACCATTTGAGAAATCTAAATGGATATGTGTATCATAAGAAAATTAATGGCAGGTACTTGAAACCTTATTATCCAACTGTGTGGGAAATATAAGGAGTGTAGAAAATTAGTACAATGCTTCAGTTGTTCCCTTATAATTGATTCTCTACTCCTAAGGGATGGGAACAACTGAATGGTTGTAGCCATGTCTTGTTCACGGTCAGCTAGCCCTTGATTGGTAATCTGCAGCTTTGTAACAATTCGATCCAAAGCCAGGTTAACTGCTGCTAACTCCTCTTCTAATTGGGCCTTTTTCTCCAAAAGCTGAATGCGAAACTGAGAAGTAGAGGAATGTTGTCCCTTTAATTCAGATACTCCAGCATGTATATGGGAAACGAATTCCTTGTCTTTCAGTAGCTTCTCCTCTACAGCTTTAACAATGTGGCAAATGTTGACATAGAAATCTATGGTAGCTGCTGCCTAGGATAAGTGGCTTAAAATGGCCATGTTAGATTGCTCAATGACTTTGCAGCATTGGAGGAAACCATTCTTAAGTACATGTCTTTGTAAGGCTTCGAATGGGATCCTTGAAAATGATGTCAGCAATTCCAAACAAGTGCCTAAGTCTAATAGAGGCAAAGAAACTCTGCTGATGGTTGGAGAGCTCTCTGAAATTTCCAAGAGGGAGTCAGCAAGGGCCAATGGCTCAGTTTCATTGCTGGTTGCTAGAGTGGTTGAAGGTATGTCAAAAATGCTAGCTAGCCGGGCTTTAAAAATGTCTATCTTGTCCACTGACATTGTACAGAGGGGTCTGAAAGAGGTGATTGCATAGGGATAGGAGAAGAGGTTGAAGTGTCCTTGGCAGTATCTATAGTCCTGGTCACCAGTAGATCAAGGGAAGAGGGACTGGAGCTGGATGGTGGTGGTGAAAAAGGAATTGGTAAGCTACCAGTATCTTCTCTAGAAGCACCAACTATCACTGATGAGGTAACAATTGGGGCCTTCTCAGGAGATGAAGGAGCAGCCAGGATTGTAGGGAGAGTAAATTGGGTTGAGGTAAAGGTTAGATGAGATAGATACGAAGTTAAGCCCAGGGATAAAGAAATAGAGAGGCCTTGCCTATAAAAATGTATAGAAAATGTAGAGCCGGGAAGTGGAAGTATTGTCTGGATGGGCTCTACACTTAAGGGCAGTTTGGTTTTCTTCCTTCTTTTAGAGTCTGTCTCAAATGGCCTTTCAATTTCAGATACGGCAGAAGAAGCCATTGTCAAAGGAAAATGTGGAGTAACTGTTGCTACAAGACAGAAAATAAGAAGCAGTGGCAAGTTTTATTGCTGAAAACTTGAGAAACAAAATTACTAGAGAAAGCAAAAGAAATTACCAGTCTTGGAAGTGGTGTAATGGTGGGAGAATTGCGAAGAGCATAATGTTCGGCAGTTTGTTGCCTTCTTGCAGTTTCCCTCTGTAGTGTGTCAGCAGCAGCAACTTCATTCCTTAATATCTGCTGCTGCCTCTTTTTTTCATATCTCTGGAAAACCACCAATTCCTTGGATTGCTCTATCTCTACTACCTTGGTGGCTGCCTGATGAGTAGGGTCATCATTGAAATCAGAGAGGGAGATTATTATTTTCTTCTTCCTCTTAAGTGGTGTTTATTTAGGTATTTCCTCCTCTTCAAGACCAAGCATAAATTTTCTCTTCGTTTGCTATTATTGCTTATCTTTAAGAATGCTTAAGGCTTGAGCCCTTTGAGGATAGTCTACTTGTGAAGGTCCTGCACCAAAAAGAAAAACATAAATAGATGAGCAAGGCATTATAAGTATCATAGAGAGAAGAGAAAGAAAAAAATGGAAATACATGCCTTTCTTCGAAGCAACCTTGGTAACTCTATGAGGAGGAGGAGAGGCATTGGGAGCAATCTCTGTGGTAGCAGGAGTAGTCTCTGTGACAGAAGGAGTATGAGCTGGGATAGCAGGGGCAGTAGAGACAGTAACAGTGGTCCTAGTCTTTTTGGGTTTGGCTTGAGAGGGGACATCTAGTCCCACTAGCAGATCTTTGGGAGGTATTGCCAGGAGCACCTCCATTTTGGCTGTCCACCAACTTTGAAATCTTCTCAAAGCTGTGCCATATGAGATAAAGGGGATGAATTGAAACTCACTCAACTCTTGTAGTAATTTACATGTTGCTTCCTTCAATTTGGTTTTGGGTACCTTCAGGTCTTTGACTGTGAGATTGGTATTGGAGAGGCTACAGAGAGGGATAGAAATTTCTTGAGTAAGCCTAAATTACCTGGCAAATTGGGAAGGACGGTAAACTTCAGATATACATTTGTAGGCTCAAAGATTCAATGTACCGATAAAGAGCTCCTTTGGTAACAAGATAGAGGCCCACATATCCTTGTGTAGCGCGTTGGAGCATTCCTTATCAGCCAAAAATGCCCTGAGCCAAAGCTGGTCCTGTATTGGTTTTGAAGGGACAAAAGAAGGAAGGAAGTGGAGAAATTGGAAGTTGATGAAAGAAAGTAAAATAATAGGCAAAGCTGGAGTGGTATAAGGAAATCCTGGCAAATTTCTCTTCGTAAGTAGTGGGTTCTTGCACCAAAAATCTCAAGCACTTGGAGTGTAGACCAGTGAAATATGCGAAGAGCCAGAGTTGTAATACCCAGAGGGGGCCTCCTTGGTTAACATCCAGAGGTTTCTCGCAAAATTAGGAGCATGCCCTATAAACATGGCCTAAAACATAAGGAGCCAAGGCTATCCTCTTCTTTGAGGTAAGAGCCTTGGCAAGTGGGGCAAACTTAGCCATAATTCGCTGAGATGAAGTACAAAAGAGAAATTTGCATAACCAATACAGAATAAAGGAAAAAAACTCTTGGTCACCTACAGAACCTACCTTCTTGTTCTCAAATTTTACAAAATCACTGAAGGAAGAGTTCAAGGGTGGAATGGTGAAGTTGACCGGAAGGTCTGGGTAGCCAGGCGTAAAGGAAGCAACAAGTGGTGAGAGCCCTAAGAGATGGAAAATATCAAGAACGGTAGGGGCCATCATACCACACCGGAACTGGAAAAAATTAAAAGTCAAATTCCAGAAACAAAAGGCTGCAGGAATCAAGAAAGGATCCTCAGGGATAATGACCTGGAAAGGCGAAGGGCATCAAGGATACAGAGCTCTTGTAGATCCCATTCTTTGGTAGGCACAACCCTATCATACCGCTCCTTCCTTTCAACCCTTAATGTGGCCCAGCAGCGGTGGAGGTGATTTATCCTCTAGCTTCCCCAATCAAAACCCCTTTCATAGAGGAGACAGTGATCCTCTAGACGAGGATACAAAACAAGAAGTTGAGCTAAGGCTTCTCTAAAGATAGGTCCTAAGACATATTCCTGTTGTTCATTATGGCGAGGAATAAAGAGGCGACCATCTATGGTACTCGGTTCACTAGCTTTGAGCTTGGATATCTCTTCATCGATACACCTCTTTAAAGCCACGGATGGGCTCACACATTCCACAATTGGTACTATCAAGGAGGAAGAAGCCCTTAACAAGAGTTTTCGGAGGACGAAGCTTAGAAAAGAGTAAAGAGGATGAGAGAGCAATAGAAATGAAGGGTTTGTGTTTTGGGCGAGTAAGTAAGTTAAAAGCGCGAAGGAAAAGGGTTTTTTAAACTTTTCCGTCTAAAAGATGCCCAATCAATTGAATGCGTAAAAAAACCCGAGATAATTGTTTTATTGATTTTGGAACCCATATGAGGTTAAGCCTTTGTCTTAAAATTCATAGGAGTCTTGAAAATACAACGTGAAAAGTCTCTCTCAAGGGTGATTGTTTGGGCGGGAAATGTATCTCAAACAATCATATTGGCTTCAAAAACTAATGTTTGGCTTCGGAGTCAAGATTTGGCTCCAAAGCCAAATGTCAAACAATCAACTAAGGCTTTGAGAGCAGGAAGTTGACTTTAAAGCACATTCTATTCCTGAGAATGCAGGAATGTTTAGGTTTGGTCTGCTTCAAAGGGATTGGGGACTTGCTCTTAGATTTCTTGTGAAAGGTAAAATCCTTCGAAGTGAACTTTGAAGTATTTTGTAGTTGGAATTTGATTCTTATTTGATGTTTTAGACTTCAAAGTTGCAGAGCCAGTACCAAGTCAAGTAAAAGATCAAGATCCAAAAAAAAGACTTGCCTGAACATGAAAAATTCCTTTTGGGATTCTCTATCAAAGCAAACCTTTTTGGAAAGCAGCATTGTTACTAACAATAGCATGCATAACTACTGCATTTTCCTGTCAGGAGATTATTAACATATTAATCTCAGGTCTTAGGTGTAACTGTTCTATAACGTTTTTCAACTCCTTACCTTTATTTAAACATCATCTAAGATGATGCAACTTATAAGCCTTACACCTGCTGCTATACGAACATTTGCTGAGATTGAAACATTAGGGCCAATCTGTTTAAATGAAAATGAACAAATTTAAATATACAAAATGGGAAAGAAAGGCTGAAAATCATGGAAAATATCCAATTCAGGATTCAAAACTAGTTTCAACATTCGGCATGGGTTTCAAAAATACTTGAAAAAGCACAGAAAGATAACCAATACTGTTGAGCAATGTGAAACAACTATTGGAAAGAGATGAGACAAAATTACCTTAGCAGTTGGATGTATTTTTGCAGATGGACGAACATAAACATCACCTTAATTAATTTCCTACTAGCAGCCAAAAACTTCAATTTCACTGACAATGATCGTCTGAAGTTTGGAGGAGCCCAGTATTGTTCCTACGAAGGAAAAAACAATAATCACTATTGGAATGAATATAGAAAAAAGAGGTGAAGGTCAAATCTTATATTAAAACAATGTCTTAGAAAGTATTGGCATGATTAAAAATAGCCCTTGGCAGAGTAGAATGACAAAAAAATATTCATGTATCCGACACAAGGCTTAGTTTGGTTTGGTTTGGTTTATCAGGTACGTGTGCACAGGGTAGAGGCATGCAAACACAAGGTGTTACCCTAAGAAGCATGGACACTTCTAAAAAGGTAACGTATCATGTTTGATACCAACATGACATGACACTCATCAGATACTTCCTAACACTATATACATGAACACAATACAAGTTTGAATGAAATAGCTTGGAATCCAATAATAAAAACAAAAGCAATGTAAATTTATACTTATTTTCCTTCTTTAAACTCTAAAAACTATTATCTTTGACTTAAATGTATTCATATACATGCCGTATAATAATTATTTATCCTAATAATAAATATGTGTTACTTTCTCTCTTAGCCAAAAGTATGACATGCCAAAATCCTGAACTCAGACCAACTTTGTACCTGAATTTTATTTCCTTTTATAAATTCAAAGAAAACCAATAGAAAGTGTATTATGAAACTGAGTTCTTAAGAAAATTAGCCAATTTTAAAGTGTTTACCAATTTTTTTTCACCTTAACTCATTTCAGTGTGAAAAATCCAGATACAGCCAAATAGTCATCAAACATTCAGATTTGCCAGCCAAAGTAGAGTGAATGTCATGAAGCATGTTAATGAAATGAGAGCCATGTTGATTTCCGTACCTTGCTAACTTCAAGTGCAGATTGAATGACATAGTTGGCAAAAGGGTCTTGCAGCAACTGTTCAAAGTGAGGCACTGAAAGCAATTCATGGATGATTCTTGGACGGCTCTCTTCAAAATGTTTGAGGCATTTTTCAACAACATGACTGCTGAATTTTTGCATCGAGAGGTGCACATAGTGCCCTTCAAACTGAGAAATCAAGCCGGCAGCAGCTAAAGGGATCTCCTGTATAACGTATTGGACAACATAATTTCTGGGATCCAAAAAAAAACAAGCATTCAATTCAAAACAAAATATTAAAATATGCCATGAAGCCAAATACAAATAATTAAAGCAACCATCACAAGACCAAATTACTTCTAATGAGATACAGAGGTAGAGGGGTAGAGGTTTATACGGATGTACATAGTGCAAGAAAATGATAAAAATTAACTGCTGACATATACACGAACAATTAATATTCACAGCTATAAGAAAGCAGTATTGAGGCAGAGATTTGGAGATATCTATAATACAATTTACAAGTAAGGTATAATATGTTCATTAGCATAGTTATATAATGCGAATGGTGAGATAGATGGTAGAAAAATAAAAATAAGCACGTGTGAAAAAGTCTAAGAGTAACCAGAGATATGGACAAATAACAACACATCAACTGAGATCAGCCAGTGTAACTTGGAAAAGCTGCAGTTAATTGCTGTAAGTCAAAAGGTCGTTTGGATCATAATCAAAGATAAATGCATTAACACATGGCATTTCACCACTTTAAGAAATGTGAAAAAGATGATCATTATGATGATTTGATGATGATGATGATGATGACGACAAAAATGAAAGGAGAAAGGAGGGAACAGGATGCTAAACAAACATGGGTTATGGCTGTGAGAAAAGAAGACAACAGAAGAGAGGACTTCCATTAGAGTTGACTGTATAATTTGTTTTATGACCATTATACCAATTAGTGTGAATTCAATTAATATAGAGCTAACTAGGAGGAGAGAGCAAATTGAATGGAGGCAGTAAGAAGCTGTCAGTTATGCTGTTTAACCCAGAGCCTCCCATCAAACCATCAATAAAATCGTTTGGCCTCCAACTCAATCAACCTTGTTGCTAGATCTTATATATTTCAATTCTCCAGTCTGAAACTAGGGAAAGTGGGGCCGGTTTAAGTTGGGAAAACCACCTGTAATATTGCTCATACTCTGAACCTAGTCTAAAGCCCTTCAATAAATGGATCACCGCGGCCAAAACCCATACGGGAAAGGCTACCATGTGCACCCCAGAAAGGGTGCATATGGTATGCGCCTGATGTAAAAAGTGCAACTTTTATCATAAAATGTATAACTTTTATCACAAAAAGTATAACTTTTTTCTTCACAAAAATTGTAACTTTTTGCTTCTCGCAAAAAGTAGAACTTAAATCACAAAAACATAACTTTAACTTTTAGGGTGCACATCATAACTTCACCATTTATAGCTTTCATTACAAAAATCATAACTTCCATCACAAAAATTCATGACTTCTATCACAAAATCGTAATTTTTCTTACAATGTGCAAGTGCACATTGTAGCATTTCCTGCCTACTTAGAAATGAGTTGGAATGGGCTTAATCAAACAAACCCATTTATAACATGAAAAAGAAACCCAACCAAACTCAAACCCTTAAAATCACTGTCTGATCAAAACAACCATTAAAATCAATGGAAGATTCCACAGGCCAGGTCAATAAATTGCGAACTCTATCCGTTACATTAGTGTGTCAGATCTCAATGCTCAATACTTTTTTAGCAATGTAACATAAATCATGGCCTAGCTAAGTACAAACTACAAAGGGTGAACTAGTCACAATGAAATGAGCTAATGCTAAGTAAGAAGGCCAGTGGAGCACGAAAAGTCTGCCCAGGGTTTTCAAGATGAAGCATTGTTTAGCAATTACAGTTTAAAGAACAATTACGAAGAATAATCTCCACATCTGATGATAAAACACAACAGTCAACAATTTATGTATCTAGTGATTGGTAGGTTGAGCAAGCTATTGATGGGAGAGCCACTTTAGCATGATTCTCTAACCAGAAGGAACCTCTCACATTAATGATCAACTTGAAGGAGACAAAGATGTTAAGGCAGTGCTTTGTTTTTTTTTTTTTTTTTTTTCCGTTACCATATTACTAAATGCAGTGATATTCAAAAGCAAGATTTTGAGTAACAAATAATAGAATTACAGAGAAATCAATAATTCCTAACAAGAATGCAAACAAACCGTATCACAGCATGAAAATGATTACTTTTTAGTGAGCAAAAATACTCATTTGTTGGATATATTTCTATGTGGATCATTCTATCAAAATACAGCCATAAGCATGCATACATAGTACATAAAAAATATTCAATCAAAGATATCATCCAAACTTTTCAAAAAAAATTACCCAAAAGCATCTTGAGCAAGAAGAAGCCCATAAGCAGCAATTGCTGCAACCAACTTTTCCTGATATTTCCCAACTGACTTATCAATGCATCGATTCAGAACACAACATCCATGCTGATGAGTTGCAATATCAACACAGAACTTTGCAGCAGCATCAAATATAAACTGCCAAAGATTAAAAAACAGAGAAGACAAAGCAGGTAATGAGAATCAAATTAAAGGAATAATTATGTAATCACAGTACAGACTAAAATTAAACCATTTAGGAATGAAGACATATCTGGTCGAAGGCTTTCCACAGGCTCACGCAAATTACAGTTTAAAGGTTAGAGCATGTGAAAGAAACCATGTTGTTAACACAAATTACCTAGAATGAAATATTCTGTTTTGCTGGATTACTATCAAACTTATATGTTCTCAATTAATATTCCAACTCAGACATAGTAATCCAGTTTATACCACACAACTTTGGCACTGGGGGGCAATTCAATAATAAAAATTAAAAAATTAAAAAAGACAGCAGTCCTTACCTGAGAAATCTTGAGAGTAACAGAAAAAATGGTTGTATGAGTAGAGACGGCAACAGAATGAGTCAATTGTTTCATGCTCCAGCCCTTGGGATATGTTTGAGCCTTACATAACCAGGTGCAAGTTTATTTTATCCTCATTTATTTGCCTGATATTAATTATATATGTTTGTCTCCATATTAGGTACAGAACAATACTTATTTCATTATCTCATCCAATCCCACCCCATGCCAATGCATCATTTTGGGGAAATATTTAAACCTAAATTGGTATTGGATTGGAACAGAAGGGGAAAACCAGCGGGTTTGGCCTGTATTGTTCCAAATCTCTACATTGCCATTACTGAATATAACTAACTATATGCTACAGACGAGATGCAATATCTAAGAGTTCATGCTTCGGTCAAGCATCATTATCCATTCAAGCATCAGATTGCAAATACATTCAAGTTCTTCTCTGATTTTCTTTAATTTTCTTTAATTTTCTTCAAATAGTGAGCAAAATGAAGAAAATAATTAGCCCCAAATCGAAGGAGACATAGAGAGGAAGACAGAGACACACACCCACACACACAGAGAGAAAGAGAGAGAGGGTGAAATAAAGGACATACCTACCCGAGACAAAGCGATGGTAGTGCTAACCCTTACGGTGTGCTCGTCTAACCCTTGCGGTGATGCTCCAGTAACAGAGAGGAGGGCAGCGTGAGGCGTGAGAGAGAAGAGACACAGAGGCGTGAGGCGTGAGAGAAGAGAAAGGGGGAGGTGATCACCATGTAGATCCAAGAGAGACTCCGAATGATTGATTCAATGTGCCTAGGGTTCGAATCGAACGCAAAGACAAGAGAGAGAGAGTGGTTCGGTGTTGTTTGTTCGCTTGTCTCGCACCTATTTCAAAGAGAGATGAAAGAGGAGAAAATGAGAAAGTGTGACCAAAATACCCGCCCCACGTTTCAAAATTCCCTCCCAAATTTTTGGCGACCAAAATGTCAGATTAGTCGCAGAAAATGTACCCTTTGCCGACAAATTTTTTTAGTTGCCAAATCTCAATCAACGGCGACTAAAATATTAGTCGCTAAAAGTGCTAATTTGGCGACTAATTTTTTTTGGTTGCTGAAAATAAGTTTTTGGCGACCAAAATTTTGGTCGCCAAAAAAAATGTGACCTTTCGCGACCAAATTTATAGTTGGTCGGCAAAAGCATACCACTTTCTGCGACCAACTTATTTTTTGGTCGCCAAAATATATTCTTTTGCGACCAATAATATTTGGTCGCCAAAAATAATGATCATTTGCGACTAATTAATATTTAGTCGCCAAATGCCATTTTTTTGCGACCAAAATTTTTTTGGTCGGCAAAAGTGGTCGCCAAATGTGTAAATCCTTGTAGTGAAGACACAACACACACAAAGCTCTCCTTCTTGGCTACAACAATAATCTTGATGATTGAATCACCTCTCACTTTCCTTCATAACCCACGGCTGCTAGGGCTACTAGTGTTATGGAAAACAATTATAACAAGAGTTAGGGTTTTTGTTATCCTTATATACATAACCACCAATCCACTTAGTATTATCATCTAATTTCATTATTATTATTATTATTATTATTATTATTATTATTATTATTATTATTATTATTTATTTTAATAGTAAATCTTGCCTCTAAATTAGAGATATTCATCATAAATTTATTTTAGGTTTAAAAATTAATTAAAAACCCTCCAAATATTTAATTTGCACTTTATGATTCACCATCAAAATATTTGCAATTGTAAAATTATTATTATTTAATTATTGACTTTATTTTTATATTCGGGTTCTCACATGCACCAAACCAAGTGCCTGTTGATGAAAAACCAACAGATACCTACAACACACCACTAGAGCTTGCAATACAGAAACAAATACCAAACCAGCAACCACTACAGACTAGACCCCATCAGATACAAAGACAACAACAGATAGCAACAAAAGATACCAAGATAGCAGAGAAACCTTATGCTAACAGCAGCCTAGTCACTTTTAATCCACCTAAAATGCCATACCAGCAACCACTACAGACCAGACCCCATCAGATACAAACCAAAAAACAGCCCTCAGATTTTAACAAATCCAAAAGCAACCCTCAGATTATATTACCCCTCAGATTCTAGCAAACCCATACATCAGTGTAAACAGCAGCCCAGATTCCAGCAGACCCAGTAGCAACCCTCAGATTATATCAAACCATACACACCAGATATACCAGTCCAAGATCCAAATCAGCAGGCAAATTCTTGATTAAATCCATGGCAATTCTTAACTACATTCCTTAATCTGAGCCAAATTGTTGATTAAATCCATGGCAGAGTATGTGTTCCCTTTAAAGAAGCTTTAATCCATAAAGCAAATCTAATCTTAATAAGCCCACCTAACTCAGACCCACATGGCTGCACTCCATTAAAAATATAATCATTCCTTAACTTCCAAATGGACCAAAGCACAATAGAGGGCAAGGCTCTCCACAATCTCCTAACTAGTTTCTTATGATTCCAATCTAACCACCAATGAAATAAGCCATCAATAGTCCTTGGCACCACCCATAAACATCCCCACCAAAGCATTAAATCAGCCCACACTTGCCATGAAAATGGACAATGTAATAGGACATGAATAATAAATTCATTTTCAATTTTGCAAAAAGCACATAATACAGAAGCATTACTGTTCAGAACACCTATATGTTGTAAGAGAACCCCTGTTTTAACTCTATTCCTCCATGCCAACCACCCAAAAAATTGGACTTTGGAGGGATTGGCATTATTCCACACAAACTTACAAATTTGGAGAGAAGGGCCCAAAAGAGAATTACTAAACTAATATATATCTGAGACCTTAAAACTGTCACCATTAGACCCATTTCAAACAAGGCAGTCTTCTTCATCCAGTCTCAGAGGAGGGGCCACCAGTAGCACTGCAGCCAACCTGTTAACCTCTACCTTTTCCCAATCATATAATGTCCTACAGAAGAAAAAGTTCCACTCCCCGGAGCTAGATTTCCTTTCAAAGAAATAAGACAGTGTGCCTTCATTTGCAATTGACAAGCTAAATAATCTAGGGAATTCATCTTTAAGGCATCTACCTCCAACCCACTTATCATACCAAAACTTGATTCTACTCTCATTGCCAGCCTTTATCTGATACTTCCCCACAAAGAACTCCACAAGAGGTTGATTTTGACTAGCAATTGTAAGAACATCTCCCCAGATTCTAAAAAATCTAGCTGATGAGTTTATAGGCGGGAGCCAATGAACCTCTTTAATCATGTACTTGCTGCATAACATTCTTCTCCAAAGAGCATTTACTTCACTTCCAAATTTCCACCACCACTTAAGAAGTAAGCTTGCATTGATATCCTTAAGTCTTCTAATTCCCAGCCCACCTTAATTCAGACTTTTAGAAACTTCAGTCCATTTCACCAAATGAACCTTCCTCTTCAAACCATTCCCACCCCAAAGAAAAGAAGCTTCAAGCTTTTCAATCTCTCTAACCACTCCACAAGGCATTCTGAACAAAGATAGATAATAAATAGGAAGGTTAGATAAAACGGATTTAATCAAAGTTAATCTACCTACAAAGGAAATAAGTCTTCTCTTTTACCCAATCAACGTAGACTTTATTGTATCTAGAACTGGCTTTCAAGTAGATTTCCTTCCTGGATTAGCTCCCAAGGGCAAACCCAAAAATTTAAGTGGCGGTCCATGGACCGTGCAATTCAAAATATCAGCATAAGACACCAAAGTTTCCTTTCCACTCCAACTCCACACACCACTCTTATGGAAATTAATCCTCATGCCAGAAAGGATTTTAAAGCATCTTAGTATCCGCTTTGTGAACACTATTTGATCCAAATCTGCCTCACAAAAAATCATGGAATCATCCGCAAATTGGAGATATGAAATCACTACCTCATTTACTCCTACTTTTACCTCCATAATAATACCTTTTTCATATGCTCTGTTCATTAAAATATTCAAACCTTCAGCCACTATGTTGAATAGGAAAGGAGATAGAGAATCACCTTGTCTGAGACCTCTTTATGGTGAAAATTTCTCTGTAGGTGAGCCATTCACTAAAACAGACAACCTTCTTGTAGCAATACATTCCTTTATCCAGGATACCCACTTAGATCCAAACCCAAAATTATACCCACACCCCTAGCATACTGATTCAATGTTCAGTAACCAATGTTCAGCATACTGATGCATAGTGTATATGTGTGTGTATATATATATATATATCAATTTTAAATATTTTTCTGAGAATCAACTATTATCGATCATGATATTTTTTGTGAAATAACGAGTTTAGAAAAAAAAAATCGTACTTTTAATATATTTTTTTAAAATTAACAAATTTTAAGATCATTATCTTATTTCAATTATTTTACTTTCCAAATAGCACCAATAGGCTATTAAAATTTAAAAACAAAAAATCCAAGTTGAGGATTCGGACTAGGATGGGCGATCAAAGTTCATATAGTGGAGCAGGAGGTGTACTATGTATTGATTTCATGCAACATCTTAGTGGGAGATCCGACAGTCGTATCTAATAAATGCAACTCACAAGTTGAGATAGAGATGTTCTATGTACTAATAATTAAAGAAAGAAAGAGAGGTTATATCACACGAGCCACAAGTTTGAGCTGGATTTCCTTGCTTACGTGTTGATCAGCAGCTATCTCTCCCAATGGGCACAAAAATTAACCAGTTGCTATTATTATTATATAATAATAAGGTGGCCTCCTTTCAATATCTTCAAAGATCCATTCGCTTCCTATCAAGGATTTTGGCTTGTAAAGTTATCTTCTTTTTTTTTTCTTTTTTTTTTTAAATTGGTAAAGAAAATTTTTATTGGTGAAAACATACAAAGTATGATACAATACATCAATAAAGAGAAACTTGAAGTTAACACAAAGCTCCAAGTGCCAGTTGGTGAAGAATCAACAAACTAGAGAACAAAGGATGCAGCCTCAACAACAAGCTTAGAAGAAAAAAAAAAAAAAAACACAAAAAAACCCGAGATTAAAGTCATCTTAAATTACATAAAAAGGAGATTAAAGATTTTGTTGGGGTCACTTGGTCAATTGGCTACATACACCCAATATATGATGCTCTGCTATTTGCACCCATAAAATTTCTAAGTTCATTCCTATTCTGCCTAAATGAATTTTCCAGAATTAAATTTTTAAATTTTCATATTACACATATAATCTTACAAAAAGTACTCTTATTGTTAACTTCTAAAACCTTAAGCCGACGCCCACTCACACTAATTAACCACATCATTAATTTTAAATTGTTTGCAACTCAACCTCGGATTTTTTTTTTTAAAGATTTAGCACCACAAGGAATCTGAATAGCTTATTTTAATCATACGTAATCTTTCACACAATCTCTAAATACTCACTTTATGCCAATGTATAATATGTTATAGAAAAATTTATTCACATAATTTATTCTCTACAAATCTCTCAAATAATATGACAAGAAAAAAGTAAATTAATCACCCACGCTTCTCTTCTCTTAAAACCTTCCAATCAATATTGTCATGTCATTCGCAAAATTTATATAAATGTAGTATTGTATAATGAATAACTTATTTTAATCATATGTAATTTTCACACAATCTCTAAAGTTCACATTTCATACAAATATATAATATATTATACAAAAATCCCAAACGGAGCACTTCATACCAGTTGCAAGTAAATAAATAATATAAGATCGAAGATCTAGGCATAAATTTAACTAAGATTTAGGTGGTGATTTCCTTTTATCTTTTGATTAAAAAATTAGAGCACCATCCTCATAAAGTAATACCACCTTCCTTCATGTCCATCCAATATTATACAACTATTTATATATACCTCCACCAGCCCACTGCATCTCTTCACCAAATAACTTATCAACCTCTCTCTCTCTCTCTAACCCAACGAAAACACTGCCAGCAATAGCATTTCAACTCCCTCCTACTATCTGCACTACACCAGCGGTAGCAATCTACCTCAACCAAGACAGAGCAGCCTCCTACAGCAGCATGCCAACCAACCAGAGCAGCTTCCTACCAACAGGCCTCTGAGCTTGTAGCCTTTTCATCTGAGTTTTCCCTCTCACCATGCTCAAGCATACATCAGCTGCACCAAACACCAGCAGCGCAAAACCAGCATACTCCAGCACAACATACACAGAGAGGAACTTTGAGCAGATTGAGCAGACCTTTCACCAACGTTACACCAGTAGCATACACAAGACCAGATTGAGCAGACCTTTCACCAATGTGATGGTTCTTTATCCATAGTCACTCTAGCATTTCAATAACTCCATTATCTCTTCATGATAGTGGGGGCCAAACACATAGTGAGGACCTAACAATTCTGCTGTTAGCTGAATCAGTCAACAGAGCTGAGCAGGACAGACCAGCAAATAGACTAACACATACCTGAGACAAAACACCCAACCCATACCAGAGCAGACACTAACCAACATCAGCATCAAGCATAACTAACCAACATCAAAACATCGTCAAAACATCAGAACAGCTAAGACACTGCAACTAAGACACCAAAACAGACAGCACCAAACCAGAGCAGACAGCAGCTAATACACCAGATACCATCATAGCAAACCAGCCTCAGATCAACAGAACAGAGAGACAGAGCAATATGTAAGACAAAACAGCCCAGAAGAACAGTTCGAACAAGCTCTGCAGAGTCAGAAGAATAGCACAAAAGCAAAAGAAACAGAACACTAGAAGGAACATACCAGACAGAATCAACTGAAATCACTACCATTTCTGATGCAAAACAAACAAAACTCAACCAGATAATCTCCCATGACAGATACACACTCAACCACCAATTCTTAGGCAGAACTTGACCTGCTGCAAGTTGTACACCAGATCATTTACAGAAGCTGCCACCTGTAGTAGCGATGCCTTAGTCCACAAGTGTGAATATTTTTTTTTGCCTTTATTCCTAAATTTTTTAATTGAGACAACTGAATACATGATGGTGTGCGGCACAGTAGGACTCTTTAGAAATGCTTTGATACTTTAATTGAAATACAATTTTGTACTTATTTCATCTCAATTGACATTGTATAATGAAACCTTGGCAAAAAATTTGTATCGCTAGTGTTCTATTTATTTCATCTGAATTCATGGTATATATATGAATGCCATATCTAAATTGATAATTCATTTCATATGAATTTACAATATATATACATGTAATCAAAATAAAATCATAAA